ACAACAAATGTTGGAGAGGCTGTGGGGAAAAAGGAACCCTTCTCCACTGCTGGTGGGAATGTAGACTGGTGCAACCATTATGGAAATCAGTGTGGAAATTTCTCAAAAAACTAGGACTGGAAATCCCATTCAGCTCAGCTATTCCCTTTCTGAGTATTTTCCCAAAAGAACTGAAAGTGTCATACCATAGTAATATATGTGCATCCTTGTTTATAACAGCACAATTTGTCAGAGTCAAATTTTGGAAACAAACAAAATGCCCATCACCTGAGGAATGGATGAAAAAGATGTAGTATGTTTATACAATGGAGTGTTATGCAGCTATAAACAAAGACAAACTTGAGGCCTTTATAGGCAAGTGGATGCAACTAGAGTTATACTTATAAGTGAAAAAATCAGACCCGCATATATAAATATTGTATTGTCTCCCTAGGGTGAGAACCTGAAAGAATAAGTAAAACCTGAAAGTCATAATAGATACAGTAAAATGGAAAGAAACTGAACATAAGGCTTAAACAACAAAGATGAAGGAAAGGAGAAAGTATAGGAAAAAACGAAGGGGGGAAATCATGCAAATATATATACAGGATAGCTGAGATGATTATACTAATAATTTCTATCAATCGTTTTGAAAATAGCAATTAATGTTTAGAATTTTCATTTTGACTAACTATGCTGATATCTGCAATCTAAGCAAGTATATCGAGGACAGCAATGTGTAATACAAAAACTGGTTGAATACTGCTCATCTTGGTCTTCTGAATGTGTACTATTACTAATGTCTTACAGATTATTATTATATTCTCCTAAAAACAAATTTACAAAAAAGTAAAAAAGACAAGAAAAAAATTAAGGTTTATTGAAAGCAAACATTATTATTCAGTTTTTTTCCAATCTTGTGTAACTGTATCTGTTAATCTGAACAACAGAGCTAACAATAAAATAGGTAGTATGACAACCATTATTAATTTGCTATTCTTAGTGTGAAAATCTGTAACATATATTGTTTTATGTTTCTCTGTTTCTGTCCTCGCATCTATTTGTTTTTGCTTTTGTTTATACTCTTCAAAAAAAGATAATAAGAGAGTAACAAAGGTCAATCCATTGCACATTGCTGTCTTTAACTTAATCACTCAGAGTACAAGATATAGGCATTTAATTGTCTAAACAATATTAGCACAAACCTTTCTTTTTAATGAACTAAGAGGAATTAGTAGTATAACTATGATATATATATATATTTTTTTCTTGTTTTTTTTTCAGGAATGGATAAATCCTGAATCAAGTCATAATTGGTAGTGGGGTGGAGAGGCATACAGTTCATCATTTGAGGGCCTATGGGTTGTTTCTGCTTTCTGGCTATTGTAATACTTTAATGAATGTATGTGAGTTTTTGTGTGGACATATGTTTTAATTTCTCTTTAACATGTAGGAATGAAGTTTCTAGGTAATATAGTAACTATGTAACATTTTGAGGAACTATCAAATTGTTTCTCAGTGTGGATCTTACATTTGCACCATTGCTTCACACCGTTGTCAACACCTGTAATTATCTGACTTGACTCCAGCCACTTTTCTGGTTGTCATGTAATACCTCATTGTCGTTTTCACTTTTATATTTAATGATGTTGATTGTCTTTTCATCTGCTTAATGGCCTTTAAAAAATCTTAATTGGAGAATTGTACTCAGATTCCTTGCCCACCTGCTAATTGGGCTATTAATATTTTTTTATTAGTATATATTTGTAATACCTAGGAATACATTCATCATGGGGAGCGTTGGTGTGTATCATATCACATGACAATCCTTTTGCTTCCCCTGCTTCTCTCCTTCCTACCCTCCTTCTCCATTGCTAGATCCCCATCCTGTCTGCCTAAAACACCAACCATCCCCAAATTCAGGAGTCTTGAAGATGGGCACCTAAGATTTCTTTTGAGTGTTCTGTAGTTGAGCCATTTTGTGTTAATATTTTTATGGTTCTACAAACTTTTGATTTTTTCTGATTGCAGAGACTATATATGGATATGTTGAGACTATAAGTGTTCTGCACTACTGTACAATGAGGGGTTGGGCTCAGGGATTACTAAAATGCTTTGTAACATGTTCTGTGATTCTGCATACTGTAACTTAGTTGTCGTTATGTTGTTTTTAATAGCACCACTATTTGTTACAATGACCAAAACCCACGTGATAGCAGCTTCAAAAGAAGCATTTTATATCTGGCAATATCGTGTTGCAAAGAAGCTGACAGCATTGGAAATCAATCAGATCACGCGATCTCGAAAAGAAGGGAGAGAAAGGTATCTGTTCTGAAATGTCTTCCTCTAATATTTTAATCACATCAGATTGAAATTAGGCATAGTTGACAATAAATTGACATGCAAGAGAAATGTGAATTTCCTTCATCAGCAGAAATATCCATTACTTTGAATATGTTTTAAATCAATGTTTAAATTTCCCACAATAGAAGGTAGCACTGTCCGATAAAAAGAAAGTGTCTTAGTAAAGCTGTGACTGTGGTTTTTTCTGGGAGGGTGAGGTGGTTCTGGATCTGGTTGCCAGAGGAGAAGCAGGTGCTCGACACGGGTAGGGAAGAGGCCTTTAGGTGAGGTGACCTAGGAACTTGGGTTCTTCTTGGCCTGGATACCAGGGAGTCTGGGGTTGGAATGACTTCTGGTAAGTGGGAGTCAGGATGACTCTGCCACGTGAACAGGTGGGGTCCAGGCAGAATGGACTGTGGTAGGAAGCCTCAGGTGAAGGTATAATGCACTGTGCTTTATAAATTAGTTTGTCTGTGTTGGCAATATGTTGTGTTTGTTGTTTGGTTGTTACCCAAACCTTCAAGTGAAGCATTTGGTGGGTGTTTTAACCTAATGAGTTTAGATGAAGACATAGGCCTAATGGTTTGAGTCAGGTTTAGAAACTCAGCTTGTTCTTTCAAACCATCATCTACCTTTTTGGGACATGTGGGTCATTTCTGCTGTTTTTGGTGTAATGCAACCTTCCCTTTTCTTACCTCCTCCTTTGTCTTCTCTTAAGACTCACTCATAAGTGAATTCACATTGAAGCAGAAAACAACTGTTGGAAAAATGACACCACATTTTCTCAGTGGTGCTGGAAGACTAATCTTAGGCCAATGTGAGAGTACTACATGGTGGTCCTGTTTGCTGCAGGGCTTACTGTGTACCAGTCCTCAGCAGAGACCCCAGGTCTTCAGGAAAAGGGGGCTCCTAGGGCAAGGTGGGGCAAGCAATCCTCTCTACAGAGCAGAATCCCTCTAAGGGGTTCTGTCTTTTGTTTAAATCCAAAAGAAAGCAGTTCCTTGTCTTCCTGCCTAGGGAAGGAGGTTCTCCTTGGGTCTTAGCTCCTTGATAAGGAGTACTCCCACAATTGCCATTTTACAAAGAGGAAACTGAGACACAGAAGCCTTCATTGTTTGACAAAGGTCTTCAGCTGCTATGTAGAGACAGGGGATAAAGCCAGGTTTGTCTGACTCTGAAGAGGGCTTTCTTGTTTTATGAGGACCATATGATCTCTTGTCTGGATGCTCCCACCCCAAAGCCTCATGCACTCATCCAAGGGGATTACATTGGAGCCCTCTATTTGACTTGCTGTGAGGAGGCAAGATCTGGTGCCATGTGTGTGGGTGAACTGGGAAGATTTGTTCTCTTCCCAGCTCTCTGCTTCCTGGTTGCCAGTGTTAAAGCAGCTTTTCTTCTGAGCCCCTCATCAGTGCTGTCCTGGAACTGGCCAAAAGAAACCTCTCCTGCTTTAAGTTTCAGATGTCAGGCATTGTGTCTTTGCAGACCACTTTGTTGCCTGGGAGCTTCCAGTTCTTACCTTTGACCTTTCTTTTGTGGTGACCAAGTAGGACTGGATGTGTTTCATAGAAGTATATAAAATAGAGAAATGTGTACCAATTTAGATGTATCACATGTGTTTGCACTTACACCTAATGTTTGCTCTATTACATTGATGGGAATATAATAACAATTTCAAAAGAACAATTATAAAATTCATCATATTTAAAAGTAGAAATGACAGGGTTTTTCTGTGATTATTTTACAGCTACGACATTTTAAAACCCTTGTGTGTGACAAACTGTGCTTAAGTGCTTTAAAGCTTCATTTTATTTGCTTCTCTGAAATGTTGGAGAAAGGGGATTGTTATCCTTATTTTACAAAAGGAAAAGTTGAGGGTCAGAAAGTTAGCTTGCCCAAGGCTTCAGAGCTATTGGTGATCTAGAATATTATTTTAACAAAATTTTTTTTTTTTTTACATTTTGTTGTTGTTGTTTTATTTTGGTACAGGGTCTCACTATGCAGTTCAGACTCATAGTGATCCTCCTGTCCCAGCTTCCCCAGCGCTGGAATTACAGGCATGCACCACTATTCCAGGTTTCGGTAATCGGCTTGGTGTGAAGCCAACATGGCATGCGGTACTGGGCATTGATCCTGGGTCCTTGAGCTTGCCAGGCAGGCACTTAGACCGCTGAGCTATCTCGTTGGCCATATTATAGTAATTCTTTAAAAACTTTCATTTTTGTAATTGGGCAGACACTGTGGAGTACTTGACAGTGTAGCCCTGTGGGAGGGATTGGCCACCTCGCTCCTGCACGCTCACCACCCAGGGAGCTTGTGTGTAGGCAGCTGCAGCAGCTACGCTGCTGTTGAGTGTCAGCATTATAGCAAATGGCATGGAGAGGTGCAGCATCCCAATGCAGGAGGGGTAGCAATGTCTTCTCTGCTTCTAGAGCTTTCCAAGTCCATAGAAGTTTTACTTTTATTAAACATGTTGATATAAGAGAAATAATGGGAAAACAACAGGGAACACCCATGTAGAAGAAGTGACTCCTGACTCATAGAGTAAGTTAAACCATCTGTTTCAGCTAATGAAGTTCACTGGGAATATGTAATTCAGTGTTCAGACTGAGCTGGGACACAACTTTCGCAAATGAGTCAGTTGCATTACTAGTACATACTTGTTTCTACCTTTGTGAGATTCAGCTATATCAACAACTCTTTAAAATAATCAGTATTTTTTAAAATTAAATAACAGTATTGGTTGGAGTTATTCAATTTTGTGATTGTTTTAAAGATTTTGAAGTAGCATAAGTCTTCAAATCTTTTTTTAAAATTTATTTATTTATTTTTTATTAATGTTATTGAGAAACAAATAGCAATGAGGCAGTTTCAAAACCGATTAGTAGGATAGTTTCAGTAATTAATACATTGCGTATTGTTGTCTTTGCAGTGGTTATTCATACTACAAGATGCAGACATGCTATCCTGTCCAAACACTCTTAGTACAAATCTTTCTTCTTGTTGAATTAAGAGAAAGTAGCTGTATATCTATCCTGTTTTGTATATACAGATACAAAATGGTCCTTCATTTATATCCCCCCTGTTTTTGTTTTTTTGTTTAGTTTTGTCAGAGATGGGTATTCCATTGCCATTTAAATATTGTAGGTGTGTGAATTCAGCAAAATAATCCAATATAGTCCAGTAGTCCATAACAGTAGTGGGTTATCTGTAAGACTGGCAATGTCAGAAGTTGTTGACTTGAGCCTTTTACAGCTCAGCATATTAATATGGCCGTGACTCATCCACATGACTGACACTGACAAAGGATCTGCAAACTGTGGCACAGGGCTTCAGGGTAAATCTTGAGGGGATTTGACTGACCTTGGCAGATACAAAAGTTACATTTCTTGTTATACAGGTCTTGCTTTATCTTGGTCTTAGCTATCCAGCAGGAAAGTATAAAAACAAGGTATAAAAAAATTAAAATCTTTTCAAAATTCTGCTTTATATTCTTTTTAACAGAATTTACCATGTTGATGATACTCCTTCTGGGTCAGTGGATGGGGTTCCTGATTACAGTAAAGCCATTCAAGTAGGTAATTTTGTTTTTGCTAGCAAATGTTAGTATAATTTTATTTTGAGACTTGAGAAAAAATATTTCTTGTAAATAGAACTTTAGCAATTCTTTAAATTTTTTCAATTCTGAAAATACTCATTTTTAAATCTGAGAAAATCTCTAAATAAAAGTGGTAAGTAAACAGTTAGATTCTACTCAGAAAGGTTGTTATCTAAAAATACTAGGGAACCTATTTCTTCCTTCTTTTCCTGTCTCTCCCCCCTTAGCATCTGTCTGCCTATTAGTTGACCACTTAACAGATCTACTGGCCATATGCTGCTTGGGTCACCTCTGGTATATTAATGATTATTCTTATAGATAACATACAACTATAATATCTTAAACCCCTTGTGTGTGTCATACTGCCTACATGCTTTACAATGTCATTCATTCACGGAAGCAAAAGCAAATGTAATTACTAGTATTTTAGTAAGCAATTTTTTGGTGTGATTTTTGTTACAGTATTTAAAATAGCACCAGTTATTGGTAAAGCTCTTTCCTATCCAGTTTCTTATCTGATGCTCAGAGTCAGCCTGGTGTCTCCTCTCTCTTACAGATTAGAATACAGAAGCAAGTTCATTTATGAACTTCAGGTCCCAAACAGTTGATTAAGTAGCAAGGTGAGGATGCAGGTTTACATTTTTTCATTGCAGAGCCCATGAGCTATCTGTTAGGATATGCAGAGGTCCCTCTGTCATCTCCTGTCAGTCCGCTTGCTCAGAAGGCATTGATGCATGTCTTTGGTGTGTCAGTGGGGATTTAAATGTTAGGAAATTTAAATCTGATTCATCCTCAACCTTTCCCCCTATTCTCACACAAGATCTGCTCCATCCTAAAAATGGCAGATGAAGTCTCCATTGTTAACTACATAGCTTTCTCTGTCTACTGCTTTTTTCTATTCTCCTGAAAGAACATTCTATCTTCATCTTCTTTCCCTTATCATTTATTCCACTTTTGTACCATTGCATTCTGATTTCCAGTTCCCTTGATTTGCCATGTCTGTTAGAAACTTTTCTTTATGTTATTTATTTATAGGTGACAATATTTTCAACTGTACTTTTCTGCCTGGCTTTCTGCCTAGCTGGCCTTTCCACCTTAGTCTTCTTAGTCAAGGGCGCATCTCCACATCTCTGATTGTGATGGCCCGAATTCCAGTCCTAGGCCATTTGCTTAGTACTCTTATTGAACTCTACTCCTATAACTATATGCTGGCGACTTTCCAGTGTTGAGGTTTTCTAATTCCAGAGTAACATATTTTTTGTTGTCTGGATAATGAGAACATAGATGATTCCAAAATGCCCCCACACACAACCTCTCTGAGACTGAACTCATTTTGCTTCTATATATATCATGACTGTATCTATTAAAAAATAGTGAATCCTGCTGATTCTGTCTTGCTGAATCTTGCTGATTCCATCTTCTAAATTTCTCAAAGACTGGCCTACCATACCATCTTTACACATGTGATCCTTGAGTGCTGAGGAACTGAATGTCAATTTTATTTTACCTCAATTACCGGAAATGTGTATTTCAGTAGTGCCGTGGGAGGTGGGTACTGAACAGCACCAGACAGTTCATTTGCTCTGTCTTCCCCGCTCCTACAGTACCAGCGCAGTCTCCATACTCCTGGCCAGTGCGTTCTTTATACGTCGTCATCACGTTACAGGTGATCCTGTGCCATTACAGTGATTAACCTCCAGGCAACTCTGGTAGTTTTCAGCGTGCAGATACCCAAGCCTCTCGTCTCCCTGCCCACTTCTCTTCCAGTGCACATTCCTCAGATACCAGCTGTGCTAAATAAAATAACTTAGTTTCTTGAATGCCCTTGCTTTTTTTCTTTGATTTTAAAAACATTTTATTTCAAAATAATTATAAATTCATAGGAAATTATATGAAGTCTCTACTCAGCTTTCCTCAACAGTAACATCTTATATGATTGTAGCATGATATGAGAATAGGAATTTCCATGATGTTATTTGGTTAGATGACAGTCTTGTTCCTCATTCAGCACCTACTGTCTATATTTACTTGTGTGTGTGTGTAGATTTTGTAATGCTGTCACCATAAAGGATATGCCAGTATCTGTGTGCCAGTTCACCTTTTTACCTGCTTGTCAGCACTAGCCCTGCTCCCTGACAACCACAGATCTGTTCTGTGGATGCTGAGTTTTGACATTTTGAGGCAGGTTTAGGAATGGAAACATTATCAGAAACCAAGCACAGCCCTAGGGAGCCATCAGGTGGTGATAGAGCTTTGGTTCTTCTCCTTCTCCTTCTCCTTCTCCTTCTCCTTCTCCTTCTCCTTCTCCTTCTCCTTCTCCT